CGAGCACTGCGGGAGGAGAGCGCTGTGTTTGTGGGTTTTTTTGGGGGGGGCACCAGGGCCCTTTGTTCCTTAGGTCCGCCACTGGGTGTAAAATCTCCTCCCAGGAGCTGCTGACAATGTCCCCTGCACAGTATGTAGCAAATACATCCTACATCTCCAAGTGGAGCTTACTCCCCCTGCCCACTGTACAAAGGGTCTTCTCATTCATTTACTCTTCTTCAGACATTGCCCTAGTGCAGGGGCGCCCACTATTTTTCGTCTGGAGATCTACTTTTCAAATGACGAGCTCATTGAGATCTACCAACAAAAAAACACCTGCATTCAGGGGTGGGAGGGGGCGTGGCGGGGCATTGAAGATCCACAACCCACAGCCACTGTGTGAGGCAGCAGTTTAGAAACACATCTCTGCAAAATTACTCATATGTACTAAAGTGAGCCAACTGACTAGAACCTGTCTGTGAAAGGTAGTCTGAGATTAGAAGGGCAACATTTTTTTGTGGAGAGCAGGTTTGGAGGTTTTTGTGCACTGGCCATGGCATCTGTGGAGAGAATAAATCCAGCTTCGGTTCCTCCCAACCAACATCAGGAGAGCAGCAGGGAGGCACACACACCTGAGGCAATAGGTGTATGATGGGAGTTGTAGCTGTTGGGTGGATGTAGTAATAAGGGTTATCTTCCGTTCTATTGCCACTGGTCGCGGGTGCGTGCAGCAGGTAAACTGCATTGTCAACAATTGAAGCAAGTCATAATACTACTCGTATTCTGAACTTGACTTTCATTCCGCCAGAGAAGTAATTATTTTATGAAATCAACAAGAGTTTCTAGAACGTGTGAAAAACTAAAATGTTATGTGTGACGGACCGCCTGGTACCCTGACTGGTATATCCGTCCGAAATCAGCTTCCTCCACTCTGGAACCGGAAAATCATAATAACAGCCTTAAACCAGGCAGAACTAGTCTTAGGGTAAAACCCCAAAACTACCTTTATTGACACACAGTATATATATACACACAAAACCTCCCCCCCCTCCACAAGTATGTCAAACATTTGAAGTCCCAGGAGAAAATGAGATGAAGTAAACAAACACAGGACAAAGTCTTTTCACTTCAGGAGAACAATAGAACAATACGTTCCATCATTAATCGGGAGGTGATAAAACATAGTGCGGTTTATCACCTAAACCTAATTACAACAGAAAATACCAATAATAGCAGATGTCAGAAAACCAGGGACATAGTTAACCCCTTCAGTGCTGCTGGATTCACACCCTGGACTTATAATAGGCACAGGGAGCTTATACATAGGGGGTGACTGAGGAACCAAGGAAGGGGTCTCCCAATAAACGTCCACAGTCTGGTCCAGGGCAGGATACTGATGCATGGGGAAACACAGTCTCAGCTCCCCCATGTATCCCCCACATAACTTGAAAATAGGTCTCTGGGGTCCTCCTGATCCATGGAGCGTAAATAAAGGGTCCCATACAGCCCAAAGCACCATGGCAAGCCCCTGTCCCAATCAATAGAACCCACTCCACAGCCAAGGACCATATTCAGTGGGAAAGAGGCAGGCCTGCAGTCCCCTCTAAATAACAGAGTAACAGAGGATTCCGTCATATTATGTATTCCCGGCTTTATCTCATTATATGATATCATGACTAATGGTCACCAACATGTCTTACTTTATAAAGTTTTAGCTGTATAAACCTAACTATCCATATATACATTGCATAGTGAGCTTTATAATGCTTTTTTTTTCAGGAGCATAAAAAAATTCTAGGACACTGTACAGTACATGCACCATATATTTCAATGCCGTTATGGCAGAGTATATAGTGCTATTTCCACTATTGCAGTCAAAAAGAGAACACCTTCATGTTTGTTACATGTGCTCATTCACATAAGGCACCCCCCAAGCATGTTATTTAGAGAAATTGTATATTTTTAAAGTTGCCCATATTTTGCAAGAACATAGGTGGCAACCCTACTTCTGAGTGTATACAGCAATGTTAAATACATACTTTCTGCCCTGCTCAGAAGATCTTCACTATGCGGCCTTGTCCAGCAGTGTCTAGCCTTTCATTGCAAATAGTAATCTAAAGGCCCCCCAAAAAAGTCACAAACCACTATGCAATTACAAGTTAAAAAAATAGTTATGACTTATGTCTTTTTATTTAATGTATTCACATTTCACATACATTCACAGTTATAGTACATTGTGAGAGTCATCTGAGAGATGGGGTTCTCATTCTGTCCTATAGAGAGCCTCTCTTCTATCTGCAAACAATGCCCTCTAGTGGCTGTTGTATGTATTTGCACAGACATGTATACACATAGTATACAGAATACAATATTACCTGTAAAGTTTCTGTAAAGACATATACCGTATATTGGTTTCCTCCCGCAGCCACACAGTTCGGTTGAGTTAAAGGAATGCTTTGTAATAGCTAGAATAAAAATGGCAAAACCTACAGTATATTTTGTATTTGATATATTTTGTAATTTCCAAGAAGTATTTTTGGGTGTGGGAATTGCGGAAATGAACTTTGTAAGTGATAAAACACCAAAGTATAAATTAAATATGATGATAAAGGGAAAAACTGAAACAATTACTTTTTCCATTCCAAATATGTAAAACGAAGTGACTGTTGTCTTGCTGAAACTTAAAAACTGGCTCGCTAGTAATTAATACTTACCTGTCCAGCGGATGATGAGTCAAACCCACCTTCTGCCAGAGGCACACTATCCAACACACTTGTAAGTGGCGGATAGCAGCAGAGTAGATATTAAGATTTATCAAGCAATTCATAACCTACAGATCAGGCGGCTCTCTATCTAAATGTGACTCTATTTAATGATTTGTCAAAATTGCCAGAGGAAGGATCGCTAAGAGGTGATAAGATTGAGTCCCTATGGAATTGCTCCATCTGTAGTTGAGGCCGCGAGATGTCGCTCCCATCACTAGTGATCCAAATTCAGCAGAGCTCGGGCCAGCCACAATGACATCTCGCTGCATCTGACTGCAAATGGAGGGAGTCCATAGGGACAGATAGCGATCCTGCCGCTGGTGATTTGTCTCTAGTGGCAGAATTGCCCATCTGACATCTGATGGGCAATCAATGTACTTGGGACTGTTTTGTTTAAGTATTACAAAGTGTAGCTAAAGCCTGACAATCAATCACTTACATTTAAAAATGAACCCTTGCAGTGGGGCTACCTCAGCACTGTAAGGGAAAGGTGGTCATTTTATTCTAGGGGCTAAAATAAAAAGGATATACTTGCCTGACTGTTAGACCGCAGGGATTCATGTGAATATGGTAGCAAAGGGACTACTGCACATTTAATTACAGTTTGGACATATTATTACTACTGGAGAGCTCAATTCCACTACAGCAGTGAAGAGAAGAACACCCCCAAGGAGAGTGATACCATGTCATTGTAACGCTCAACCCCGAAGGAGCAGCCAGAATAACCCAGGTCAACCATAGCATGTCTAAGGGTTTCCGGCAGCCAGTTGCCCCACTAGCACTAACCGCTCTAGTTAGTGACCAACTTAGCACTAACCGCTCTAGTTAGTGACCAACATAGCACTAACCGCTCTAGTGACCAACATAGTGGAGATCCAGGTCAGATGTATCATGCTGAAGAACTTTATTAATAGATTCACTCAGGGGGAGAGGGTATAGGGGTCTAGACATCCAGGGTGAACCAGACTCGCCAGTCTCTTTTAGTATTTCAGTGTAGACTTTATGGAAGCATGGTTGACACTAGGTATTTGAGCAACAGATGGGCAGGGATTGGAAGAAATCCTCAGTGGAGGAAACACCAGACTTGCTCCTGAGGTCCTCTATATTCTAGGCAACTCCAGCAGCCATCAGCTTCCCTGGTTCTCCTACTCCAATAATAGCAGAGGCCTCCTTCAGACTTGCAACCTAACAGATCATTTTCCAAACTCAGGTGTTCCCTCCCCAAGGCTTGGGCCTAGGGGCAGGCTGGACAGTACCCTGCCTAGGGTTGCCACCTGTCCAGGATTCACTTGGACAGTCCGGGTTTTGAATGCTGTGTCCGAGGTTCATGGCAGCAGAAATTTGGGCACAAGATGTCACGCAGACAGGGGCAAACAAAATTAAGATAGGTGCTACTGGCCCCCCACTGAAAATAGTCTCAACTGTGTTATTTACATATGAATAATCCATGACTCATTCTTCCCAAAAAATGTTGGTGTGTCGCTAGAGTGTTCGGGTTTCACTTGAAAAAAAGGTGGCAACCCTAACCCTGCCCTAACTGGACACTGGGCTGGAACCCAACTGCACTGAGCACATGGCAATTCCTCTGAGTATACAAAAACACTTCCTCAGCATGCATCAGTAGCTATCAGAAACCCAGTGATTGGCTGATGGACTGCACACTCACAGTGTCTCCCATTGGTTACCCAAACTGCAGCAGTCACACTCCACTCAGGCAGGTACAATCAATGCCAGAACACCTGGAATTAACCAGATAAATGAGTAACATGTCACCTTCGTTGATACTTCCAGCTCCCTGACTCCCCCTTCGTGTAAGCAGCACTCGGCGGCAGTTCTGTGTGATGAGGGGGCGGGGATTACACCGCTCCCTCTCATTGGCTGCTGCCCGGCTGGATGATGCTTCACGCTGCGCCCGGAACAAGATGAGGGGAGCAGCGTGAAGCATGTAGGGCCCAGGACGGGAGGAAGAGGTCCCGGGACTGGTAATCAGCGGTCACCAGTGGCCCCTTCCTCCTGTCCTGGGCCCCCTCCAAGTGGCCGAACTCCAGGGCCCGGTCGCGGCCGCGACCTCTGCGACCTTGGTAGTTCCGCCACTGGCTGGGGATTCCACCTTTCTTATTAGAGCACAGGGTTCGATGTGTTCACAGAAAATGCAGAACCTCCCACATAGAACTCACTATGAACATTTTCAGCAAGCACACTGGAATGGCCTATATGTGTACAGAACATGTTGGTAAGAATCTAAAATAATGTTGGATAACATTTGGCCCCAGATACCTGACATTCATTTCTTCTTTGGGATCACTACAGCTTACTCTTATTATTAAAGTCCAAGATAGTTTTTTCACAAACCTTCAATGTGCTCTCCAGATCAAACTCTGGGTCAAACAATGGACGTCTTTCTAGCAGGATCACTGAAATCAGTAAGGCAAAATGACCGGTCAACCCCCAAATGTAAAAGCTTTTCTTAGTCTGTGGATCCTCATGCTCAAACTTATGGATGGTCTGCTTTCCGAAAGGGGGTATGTTGTATGGTATTGCAGTGTAATGGTCCAAGCTGATGAACAGATCCAAGGGAACATAGAGGACCTCTGTAACCTCATTGGGGTTAGGTGTTGGTTGGAAGGTGTCTTCTACAATCCCAACTACTGGAGTGACCAAGAAAACTGGAGACTGGAAGAAAAGAGAGGTAATAAAGAGGAACTTTATCATATATGTTTAAAATAACAACAAAGACACCTTGATGTCAGGGATGTCAGGGATACCGGCACAGGTGACCCCACACCTGCGCAGGTACCCACACAGGCAGACCAAACACGTGACCACACAGGACGAGGCAGAATGTATGATATACCGTTTTAATATGCCAACCAGAATACAACAGAAACAAGTCTTAGCAACCAACAACATCTAAACAACACCACATGCAAGAAGAAACAGGCAAGCACACCCAGGGAACAAAGCAAAACACCAGGGGAACTAAGGGACGAAAGGTCAGGGTACAAGGAGCTAACAGGACTCAGGAACAGAAACAGGTCACGGTTCTGGACAACAAGCAGGGAACATACACAGGATACAGGACTCGGGAACAGCAGCAGGTTACAGGACAGGGGACTCAGGCTTAACAGGAAACAGGAAACAATACTGAGCCACAGACCTTACTGCAGGGAGGGCTTAAGTAACCTCCCAGGGAGCACCAGGTGGTGGATGATTGGTGGCAGCTGGGAGACACCTGCAGGCGAGCACTGGAGTTGCAGTTTCCAGCACCACCCAGTGGAGGTCTGGTACCTAGCAGTTCCTGGCTGCCTGGAGACCCCCGCAGGTGAGTACGGAAACTGCAGGGCTTAGCTCCAGCGCCACCTGGAGGCGCTCTGGATCTCAACAAATAATGACATCTACAAATACATACTTCTAGCTAATTGCCTGCTTTGTATTCTTTACATACCTTATTTTAGGGATGCACCGATACTATTACTCGTACGTGCCCAAATGCTCCAATGCCTAGCCTGATACTTGAGCTTCCAGTATAAGGAAGCCGGCCATGAGTCATTACACACTGCCCGGCTTCCTGATTGGCCGTGAAGCCGGCTCCATGCTCCCTCGTCACTTGATCAGGCTAATTAGGAAACCAGGTGGCAAGTCATTACACGGCGCCTGGCTTCCTTAATGGGACTTCCGGTATTAGTATTTGGTATCGGTGAGTACCGAAAAAAAAAATCAGTACTCGTACTGGATACCAAAAAAAACGGTATCGGTGCATCCCTACCTTAGTTCTCTTTTCTCTCCCAGTCTTCTCATGGCGGCCATTTTAACTAAGGGCAGACTACTATATCTCCCTTTACTTCCTGGAACTCTGGCACATGTGACTAGGACATGTGACCATACACATCATCTCACAGGAGGAATATGCCTTTCCCAGAGATCTCATGAGATTCCAGATGTGATTTTTAGTTAAAAGGGGGTAAAGGTCCACTTTAAAAGGATACCATACAATACAAATATATACAAGGGGATGCTTGTCATTAGAGTAACACGGAAGCTTGCTGAAATCCTCTGTAACAGTAGACAATAACAGTTGAAGATATGATGCCACAAATACAACTAAAGTCACTTTCATTGTTAATGCAATTCAACTTGATCACTCCTTTATCTTCAGGGATCTAACAGTATCACAGACATTCAATATATATACTTTAAAGACAAGCACAGGTTTTAGCGGGATACCAATATACATACTAAAAGGTATGCAAGGCCCAATTTACACCTATGCATGAGTGTAGCAAGGTGATTTAGAGCCATTTCTTTACTACATGTTTGTACGCATGCGTTAACATGACACTTGTAGTACAGGAGCGGAATGCTTTTTTTTTGCCTCCATAGACTGCTACATGGGAGCACATAAATAACAAGTGTTAGGTGCTCCCATTAAAATCTATGGAGCCGAAAACGCATACTTTTGCCCCAAAGAAAGCTTATGTACTTTTTTGAGCTTAACAAGACAGGTGACAAGCAACACTTGTCATGAGAGTGGCTGCATTGAAACTAATAGGATTCTTCATTTTGCGCATAGCTGTGCTTCAGGAAGTGCTCAACAAAATGCTCAGGTGTGAATGGGGCCGTAGTGATAGAATACATTCCAAGCATAAAACAAAACTTATTTTAAAAATATTAAACCGTAATAATGCTACTAAAATACTGGATTTGATTCAAAACTTGATAAATAATAGCTATAATAAGACAAAACTGTAGTATGGATGTTTCTGAATAATAATAAAAAAAATATCTTGCCCCATCTGGTGGTTAAATAGTAAATTTACAATTTATAAAATAATAAAAAGAATCAGTAGCTTCATGTTATTCCTCTGGAATCAGGATTTATAATTTATGGACCAGATCATCTCCAAGCTGCAGATTTCTGTAAGAATCTTTTGTACGTTTTGGAAGGAAAACCCCATTGAATGGTATCAATTTTTAATTTGGAGAGATATATGCAAAATGATTACAAGCAAAACAAAACTTTTTGAAAGGGTTAAAACTTACCTGTGTCTGCGCCGCGCGCTCCCATCCGAACATTTGAAAATTTGTCGGGCAGCCGCAAAGGATCTTGGGGCGGGCGCATGCGCAGTTCAGATGTTCGGCCGGGAGACGAGGAGAGACCCAAGGTAAGTATATGGAGCAGCGTGCACCCGCACAGACTCCGTGGGACATGAGCAAAGAGGAGGACAGAGGAGTCAGCGCTGGATTGGAGACCCATACCAGCGCTGAAGGAACAGCTAAAAACTACAGGAAAGAAGAAGAAGATCGTATTAAAAGGCAACATTTAAGGCAAGTCCTTACTTTAGCACTGGGGGGACGACTTTAGCCTTTAATGTCACTTTAAAGTCCCACCCATGATCTGCTCCCCATGATTGATTTACCATACCTCAGTCCACACACTGTCTCTTGGTCAAGGATGCCATCTTGATAGAGAAGGGGTGCTTTGCTTTCTCATATCAGAGCTTCCCCAGTGACTACTAGGGATTAGATGCCTGATGGGGGAATATTTAGGAAGCAGCAGGAAAGGTGGAGGAACACAGATCTATAGAATTCATGGAGCAGGAGCAGATAGTTGCTTGCAATGAAGGCCCTCAGGAGAACAGCGAGGAGCACAATAGTGACATCACCAACTCTCCCTCCAAAACTCATGAGCCTAGAAGTCAAAGGCAGCAGTGCCTAAGATGATCTTATACAGCAGATATACAGCTCTTCAGCTACAGAGCAGAAAGCTTGATCAGTAGGAGCATTTATGTTCTGGCATCAGTAATCAGTAGGAGTATTAATGCTCTGATGTCTGGAAGCAGTAGTAGTAATAAATTCCCTGGCATCAATGGTCACAAGGAGTAATAAATGACCTTGTATTGGTGGTTAATAGGAGTAATAAATACCCCTAGGTCAATAGGAGTTAAAAAAAATGTCCCAGTGTCAATGGAAGTAATTGATACCCTGGCCTCAGTCTTCAGTTGGAGTAATAAACTGCCCCAGCTTTAGTACATGCAAAACATTCTGCAGCATTAGTGGTCAGTAGGAACAATAAATTCCCTGGCATCAGGGGGAATAAAATATGCCCTGGCACCAGCGGTCAGTAGGAATAGTAAATGACCGAGTTTTATTGTTTAGTCAAATCAATAAATGCCCTGCTGTCAGTGGGAGTATTAAAGGGCGTGGAGACAGCAGGTGGAATGGTACCCCATCATTGATGTCATTAGTTAGTGGCAGGATTATTGTGCCCATCATTAGTGGTCAGTGGAAAGAAGCGCCGGCTTCCTTACGCTACATTTAGCCCTGCTTTCCCATAGCAGGGCTAAATGTAGAAAGCAACTTACCGCCCGGCACTTCATGTTCCGGGCATCGGGGGATCCCACAGACGCTGCTGCCCCGAGGCCGGGCCTCGGTGGCCTGGTGGGGAATTCGGGCCTGATTACAAGATCCTTTACACCAAATGCAGACCAGATCTGCATTAATTTCTGAACATGCAGTGCAGTGGGTTGTGCCTCATTTTTGATGCTTTCCGGGCCGTTTTTGGTAGTTTAAAATGGGCTTTCAGTGTGTTCCAGGGCGTTTGCATTAATTTTTGATGCGTTTGCATGCATTCCAGAGCAGGTAAAATAGGGCCTGCTGCAGTTTTTTTACCTGCTCTGGAACGGAGCGCTGCGATGTGAACTGGAGCTAAAAATCCAATTGGAATACATTGGACGCAGTTTTGCTCCGGTCTGTAACTGCTCTGCTCTGCTCCTGGAAGGCGCTTGGTGTGAACAAGGCCTAACTCAAAATGCAGCTTCCAAAGAAACACAGGTTGAAGAGATCCAAGACCTCTTGCAGTTTATTAGCCCCTAGCAAAGTCAAAATAAATAAGGTTCAAGGCACACAAAATAGAGTGATTGTTGGCAACAAACGCAACAATACCAGATGTTTATGCCGTCTTTCCATGTAGTTGCTACTACTACTACCACCATTACCTTCCATATAGCTGTTACTACAATTACTGTCCATATAGTTGTTACTACCATTATGTCAACTGCTAAAATCTAAGTTGTCCAGTTTGCGGTTCACATTTTGTAATATATTGTAGAATGGCCCCGCACAACTACAATATATAGGTAGACCCACCCAAACCGTTAAACAAAGATTATTAATAGGCAAAGATATAATAATTAGGAATGCACCAAAATGACATTTTTAGACTGAAACAGAAATTTAAAAACGTGTCAGGCCGAAAGTTTTTTCCAACCTTTTTAAAAAATGTTTCATTATTTTTTCATTATTTTATGTGTTATTTTTTTTTTTAAACTTTACTGTAAGGGGCTCTGGGGAAATGTCAGGGGTCTAAACAAACCCCTGGTATTTTCCTTTTAAAATAGAAAAAGAGATTGAGAACACAAAGTCCTTAATCTCTTTTTTTCTGCAGCCCCTATTATCAATGAACAGGAAGCCTCTATACGGAGTGCTCCTGTCCATTCATAACGTGAGGAGATAGTATCAGTCACTAGGTTCACAATCATGAATGAACAGGAAGTGATGTATAGCACTTGTTGTTTATTCAAAACTGGGGACACAGTAAGCATACTATGTCCTCAGTTATTTACAAACATTCAACGATCAGTACTAATCGCTGAGTGTCTGTGCTCCGCTCTCCATTCTGACTGATTGTCCTATCACAGGAGGCTGAGCTCTCATCCTGCACCACCTAGCTTAGCCTCCTGGCAGCTCTCTCCTCCCCACACTACCCCGCTCAGCCTTCTGACAGCTTCTCTCCTCCCCACTGGACGCCAGCAGCTGGATCCGCCCTGTGTGCCCTCCAATCCCTGGCAGGCTCCAACACTGGCAGAGCAGCGGTGGATCAGAGAGGACACAGACCAGTGCCCAGTGGGAAGGAGCGAAGCTAGAGATGCTCTATATTTTTGGCCGTTTTGGTACTTTTGGCATTTAGCCCATAGTACCATTTTCAGCCAAAATGTTGTGGCGGCCGAAATTTTGGTGCATATAGATTTACGCTGTCAGTGCCATTCATTTATTTGTCACTCTGAAGATATCCTGACATTTGGAATTACTCCTATTCACAATATTTTCCTTTCCAAAGAGAATAACTAACTTTAAAGCCCCTGCATCTTGGAGATGTGCTGCATTCATAGGGTTCAACAAATGTGGTAATGTCCTTGATACTTTTTTTATTTGAGCTAGCAAATTATAAAAAGTTGGACCTTAGAAGAAGGGGTGGGGGTTAGGCCCTGAATGCTCATCCTGAAAGTTTTAACTGTTAGTGCATTCATATTTTGAAAGCTGACATTTGACTACTTTACCACTAGATGGAGCCGGTGTTCTAGATGTATGCAGTTCTGAATAGAGAAAAATTTCAGTAGCAGCATGAGAGTTCATTTATTTTTTAATTATGCCATTTTATTGTTTACAATGTACTAAAGTGGAACTATGTGCAAAATCGTTTAACAAGCCAATTTGTGTGTGCCCCCCTGCTCAACATCCCCACCTTGCTTCTCGGGCTCCGCTGCCCCTCCTGCGGGCCCTGGGCCGCATCACAGGTGTGGGCAGGAAGCTGGGAAGGAGACCAGTGAACATATGCTCACCGATCCCCTCTTCGCTGAATGGGGTAGGAAGCGATGCTGATTGCATCACTTCTGGTCACCCAGCTGCTGTCATTCCCCAGTGGCAAAAACTGGGAAATCTGCACTCCAGTAGCTTCTTTGGAGTGGAAAGGTGACACTAGGAATCTAATTGACCTCTAATGTCACCCTAAAGAGTATCTGTCAGCTCCAATGTGCTATCAAATAGGGGGCTTCTAAGAGTTGGGGTGCATTAAGAATGAATGGCACCACATCACTACAACGTGCAAAATGCATGTTTTTTCAGGTTGCAGTGATGTGCACACTCACTTCACAACAGCCTGGGCAATAAAGGTTTTATATAAGAGATGAAAACATTATATAACTCATCAGTTTATTATCAGACAATATATTTCAGAATTAGAAGACATGAACCTGATTACATTTACTTACCTTGGTAACATAGGGAAGAAGCCTGCAAACAATTTCCACTTGGTGAGCACACAGTCCTATCTCCTCTTTGGATTCCCTTAGAGCAGTTTCTATTTCATCTTGGTCGGATGGATCTTGTCTTCCTCCGGGAAAGCACACATCTCCTGGCATAGTTTTCAGCTGTAACAAATACCAGACCATCAACGACAGCTTCCTAAATATTCTTATGTAAGCATATTAAAAATGTAGCATTTAGGATGTTTTCATTTCTCAGCAACACCACACTTTGCATGAGCACTCAAAGATGCAGATTGAAGCTATTGGACCCCTGGTGCCAAAACACTAAAGTGTAACTGAAGCCCAAACCTTTTTTGTAGTTTTGCAAAAATGAAGGGAGGGTTATAACCTCTGTTAATTTTTTTTCCCCTGCCAATTATGTCATATTGGGGAGATTTCCCTTTACTTTCTGTCCAATAGCCACAACAGGTGAGAGGAAATACCTCCATAATGAGTGAAAGCCCGGGTGGTCAGCAGGGTCACCGGAACTAGTGTCCCCATTGAAAGATTTCATATCCATTCCTGTTCTGGTGACAACCACTTGCTGACCGGGGTGTTAACCCCCCTTGCTGTCCAGGCCACTTTTCAGTATTCAGCGCTGAGGTACATTAACTGACTTATTTATTGCGTCACACAATGCCATATAAAAATGAATTTTACCACTGGGTTTATTTTTTATTTTTTACTATATAAAGAAAAAAGTGCCTATTTTCTTTTGTTATATATTTTCCATACGTTATGTAATAAAACATTTATAATTACCCATTTTTTGTGTAAAATCTAAAAAAAAATCAGGTCACGTGTGGTAAATAGACACCAAACATCAAGTCAGACCCGTCAGATCTGTTGAAGTATTCTGACAGCAGCCGCTGTCAGAATACAAAAAAACAGCAGATAGCAGGAGAAGCAAAAGCCAGCCTGCTATTGGCTATTTTAAACTGCAATAGCTATTGTACCGCCCACTGCCTGCTGTTTACATTCAGCTGTCAGCTGTGGAATCCTGCCGATATCAGACCGATATCAGATGACTACCTGCCATTTACATTCAGTAGCTGGATGGAAACGTAATATCGGTACCAGATATCGGTTATTGCCTAAAAGGTGGCTCATAATCGGTATCGGTTCTGTAAAATTCACATCGGTCTACCCCTAAATTCTGCAATTAGCATTTTAAAGGCATAGCCTACCTATGCAATAATTCAATAAATACACCCACATTAATAAATGAAAATGTGCTTTATTTTTAAGATTTTTGAATTGAAGCGTGCAGAGCATGGACACCACAAGCAGCGCGGCATGGGTGCAATGCACAGGTTTTTGCATTATGTACATTCCTAGCCCCAGGTCCAAGATGTGGACCTACTGTTATGTTCCCGGAAGTAATCAATGGGAACAATGCCATCTCACTCGTGCTCTTTTGAGACCTGCGAGTCCCTCAGCCGTATGTAGGATTAAATGGAACTATGATAGGCAGGTAGGACTTGTAATCTTCCCATTCGCAGATCCTGTGAATGGATCTGTGGATGGATGTTGTGGCTGTGCGAACAGTGATTGGGGGAAGTGCGGTTTAAAGGGGGGCTGGGGAATGTGATCATGTTTTCTGCTATTCCCTGAATATAGGTGTAACATAAGAAATGGTCACAAAGATGGACTGAACCTTCAAATGCCAGGATTCCCCTTTAACTGAAGCAGAAAACTTCCCCTGCCAAGCTGCAGATAATCACCTCTGAAGGAGATTATGGAAAAGCCGAAAAAGGTAGAGGAGCAATTAAATGATATAACAGCCAAGTTCTGACTATAAGCAGCAAAAGGACAATTTGCTCCGGAGAGGTGATGAGTAAAATGATCCTATTTAGCTGCGAGCGAGGGGTAATGACGCATGATGTTCAGTGCACAGTCCCAGAACAAAGCGTGCAAGGAACAGCCGACTTACCTTCATTGATCTGACAGTTAGAAGAAGGTACAATCTGCCTTGTCTAATTTGCAGAGGGAGCAGCACTGAGGCTTTCTGAAGAGGAATGTGATTGTATCGGCTGCCAACATCATATCTGCTTAAATTGTCCTTGATCTTCTTTCTAAGACTTGAGAGAAAACAGACAGCGGAATGAAACTGCAAATCTTATGTGAAATGATGGCAGAATTATGAGAAGGAATAGTGCATTAAGCAAACCCTTACCGAGGAAATATAAAGACTGCTATTGCTGACCTCCCCTTTCTATAGCTGCCTTGCTGACCCATTAACTCCAGTATACCAAGGGGTGTATTTTTAACCAGTCCACAGAGCTATTCACCCTGCATAGTTGTGCAAACATTCATTCTGTGTGAATGGAGGCAAAAATAAAAATAAGTAGCAAATTTTCTTTTCCACAACAAATTTAATCAGGTAAATACCTTGTTATGGCCTCTAGATGGAGCTGAGGAGCACAGGAAATAGGTATCTATTACCTATGCTCATCAGCTCCATCTAGTGGCCATAATGTGGTATATTCCTAAAATTACATTCAGCCTGGAAAGAAAATATACTAATAACTTTTGGGTTTTGCCGCCATTTACACAGAACGATTGTACATGCAGGATGAATGGCTCTTCAAATTATTTTTAAAAACACCGCTAAGTCACTAACCCTAAACATGTATGCAGACCAGGAGCTTCCACTTTGCTTTGATTTTCTTGATCTGAATGATGGTTGCTGGTAAATGTCTCAGAAACCAGACACAGCCAGGCAACTAGCATATTCCTCCTAGCTAAGAGGCTCCTTTAAAGTGAACCCAGCGGCCTTGTTCATGCAGCTGTTTCAATGAGAGAAGTTATGGAAGGATGTCATTTAGGCAGCAGGAAAATGGAGCACTGGCAAGCTCCCAGAACCCCCCCATAATAAAGCACTGTGACCAGGGCACCTGCCCTGCTCCTCCTGCTACCCATCCCTTTCCCGATCCAGAGGCACAGGGCAGGCCACAGCATCCCAGATTGCTAAGTGCTCTCCCCACCCAGTCTGCTGATGTCATCGGTTGCCAGGGAGCTGAGTGGGAAGCCCTGGCTGGCATCCCGTCGAGCTCATGGCAACTAGTAATATGTGAGCTGCGTGGGACCTGACAGAGAGCCGCTGACAGCACAGCTCTAATGAAGCAGCCCGTCCCATTGCGTCTGTCGCAATGCCCGGCCCCCTAGCACCATCAGCAGCACAAGCCCCCCCAGCACTATCAATAACACCAGACCCCCCAATCTACCACTGCCTTAGGCAGCATATAGAGTAGGGACGGCGCTGGACGTAATAAATGCATCAGTGCAGCAATTGGGCATCATTTTATATTTGCCAGGCCGGCGCACTGTTCTGTGCTGAGAGCATGCTCACTAATGCATTCCAAGAACAGCGATAGAGCTCCAAGGTTTATGATTGAGAGCAGATGGGATCCCGATCATGTGACTGCTAAGACAGAGATCACATGATTGGGTAGCTGGCCACCGCCCCAGTTGTTCAGTATTCCTTAGGCTCCATTCACATATAGCGTATTAAAAAAGCAGCGAACGTGCGGAATCCGCCAGACTATCGCGCTTGCACTATTTCGGGGGGCGCACAATTTTGTGCTGTGCGGCCCGCAATGGTGTGAACCACGCACATTAAAGTGCATTGTTTTTTGTGTTTAGACCGGCTCCGCACATATCCATACAGCCGAATACGCGTGGACTGCCGCTCAGGTGTGAATGGAGCCCTAATGGGCTGCCAGGAGCCGCTGCCATAGAGTTAAAGGGATTCTGCCGCTGAAAATAAATTGAGAATTAAAGATGTACCTGCAGAGAGGAAAGTAAATACTTACCTCTCCTGGCTTCAGTAGAAAGCCCTGACCCTTCGAGGGTGCAAGCACTTGGAGTGACATTTACTTTCTTTTGCACGTACATCTTTAATTCACTCTTTCTTTTTAACGACAGAATCACTTTAACATGTTTTATCACATATATTTATTATTGTTATTATTTTTGTTATTACTATTATTATTTTATTATTATTATTATTGTTTTTTTTTTTTATTATTATTGTTGTTGTTATTATAATTACTTGTTACTACATTATATTTTCGGCTAGTAGCTAAATAATAATATTATGTTATTCTTCAATTACTCTGGATAACAATTTACATCGGGGTAGGCAACCTCAGTACTCCAGCTGTGGTGAAACTAAAAATCCCATCATGCCTCTGGGATTCATACCTTTGGCTCTCAGTCTTGCAATGCCTCATGAGGCTTGTAGTTCCACAACAGCTGGAGTGCTGCGGTTGCCTACCCCTGATTTACATATTCGCATTGCCATTCACAGAACTTTATAAGAAAGGAGACTTCTGCTGTTTAACTTGGCAATAGAAGTAGAATCAAGAGACAGATGATTGCTTCCCTTTAGGTTTGGTAACTACTTTAGCCTAAATAAATTAGATTCCAGGAGCTTTGTAGCCACCAGTGCCGCCTTCATCTGTAAAGAAGCATTACCTGTCCTGATCACTTGTCTGATCCCCTGCATAGTCAGTGCTGGTGGAAGACATGCCTGCTTGTAGACAGAAGGAACTGACTCTTCCGGCTTTGCTCTCTCTCTGCTCTACATGATCTGGTGACACAGCAGTCATGTGACCAAGCTGTCAATGCAGGAG